GGAAGTCAATCATCGATAGATCACGTGATATTAATAGTTTTCGATTTTTATTCCAGTGATGCGTTATTTTTGATCGCTACTGTACAAACCATTCATATTAATTTCGCTACTGCCAAAGATGATTATGATTTGAAGAGTAGTTATATATTGTAGATAAAGTAATAACAACTCGAACTATTTAGGAGTTAGGAATATCATAGACAGAATTATTAAAATCAGATACCGGTACTAACTCGATAGTAATTTTTGATGAAAGATAATGAACTTACGATAAAAGTGTACTGTGGGAGCAAACAATCAAAATAATCCTTCAATCTGGATATCCAACTTTAGCAATAGTTTTGGTTTGTATTTTCGGCAGTACTGAAGTGATCCTTCCCAAATTAACTACACTAGTAAAACTTAGACCGGTTTAAAAGAAGCACTTCAGCAGGGGAAGAGAGTAAATCAGCAGGGGAAAAGCGTAAAATAATAGACACCAAAGATGCAACAGTTATGCATGTCACGCATAAAAGGAGGAAATCATCTGACTCTGAAATTCTTTCAAATCCTTCTTCAACCAAAATCCTATAAAAAATAATATCAAGTCAAAATGATAATGATATTGTTAAAGCACTTAATTCTATTGATATAAACGATTTAAAAGAAGCATTAAATTCATTCTTTAAATCACGCTCAAACTCATCATTATCATCTATGAGTGAGGCAGTATTACAAGCAGTTACTGAACTGTTATTGCCAAATAACCGAATTCCAGAATTGTGTTTAGTAATTGATAGTAAAAAACCAAAGGGATTCGGTAGATATGGGTTTGTTGACCTTATTTGCAGAGATGTGGTAATCGAGTTAAAGTACATCAATCTTCCAGGCTTAAAAAAGGCATCGAAGAACAATTGGAATATATTACAAAGTGCTATAAGTCAATTGAGAAGGAAGATGAATGTACGCTTATGGAGGAATTTTATGTTTTGGTCAAAAAAGATAATAAACCAAATCTCACAATTTTAAATGAAATCTTGTTATCTGCGAAAAACAGACTTGAAAGGAGAGATTAGTGGGTTTGAAGTTTTCACATTTGGGAATTCTTGAAGTTATACCAAAGCAAATCAGATATTATAGATTCACAAACTATAATAAAACAACCACTCAATTATTGTGGTATTTTAGATAGTTATGTGATCATGATGATATGGAATGATAGGGATGATAGGTTTCTGACGTATTATTTGTAGATTTGTTGGGTTTATATAGTTTACTAAAAAAAAAAGTAATATTTGTTAGTTAGAGGTTTTTATTATATAACTAGCTACTAGGATGTTAATGGTCACGGTCATTATATTTAAATAAAAATATTTTTTTTAAAAAAAAATATATATATAATTAAAGTCCATGATAATGCTGAGCCAATAAATAAAAATTGATTAAGCATAAAAATTAATCTATGAAAATATGCAAGAATAATAGTTAATTAATAAACTTTATAATAAGCAAAAACTAATACTAATAACCAGTTGGTTCGGTCAACTGGTCAAAACCTTTGATTGACTGTTATCATACCTAACAATAGTTAAAAAATAAAAAATTTTATTATAATAATAGTAATAAATTATTTAAATTATTGATTTCAGATATAAATCATTTAAGTAAACAAATTCTTTATGCTATTTAAAGCAAAAAAAAAAAAAATTTATTAGTAATGTTACTACAAGTTTTAGAATTGGTAAGAAATTTAAGAAATTGATAGAAAATATAAAAAATAAGTTATACAAATGTAAATTGTATCAACAATTATTTATTTTTTTTTTTTTTTATATAAGATAAAACAAAAAAATTCAAAATTAAGATTTCAAAGTTTAAAGTAATATTACTGTATTATTTAATTAAAAAATCTTTTTTATATTTGTATTTTTATTATAAATTAATTATATTTGTTATTGTTATAAATTAATTATATTGCTAAACTCAAAAAAAAATATTTATATTAAAAAAATTATATTAATATAAAAAAAAATAAAATAAAATAAAAATTTTCAGTTATTCACTCTTTTTATAATAGAAATTAATTATTCTTTTTGGCTTTTCATTTTTGTAATTTTATACAATTTTGAATCTAATAAAATCTTTATAAATAAACTATTTGAAAATAAATATTATTAAGTAAACAAACTATTGACACTATAATGAATGAAAGATTGATAGCTAATTTACAATTTCTAAGATTTATTTTAATCTTTAATAACATAAGCCTTTAACTTTTATATACTATTATCACTTATATGAAATATAAGAGAACTTAAAATAAGAATATAAACTTCTCAGATTTACTTTTCAGATATATTTAATAGAAATAATTAAAATAACTTTATTTTCTTTTAGTATTATATTATTAAAATTTTTTATAAAAATAAATTTTATAAAACTGTTACTAGTAGTGAAAATAATTCAGTTTTCACAAATAGAATATTGCATAATTCTCATTAATTTATTTACTAACCTATTTGTACTTTAATATATGACTTATAATTAATTTATAATAGTTAAAGCTATTATGATCTATTATATAAAGAATTTAATATCTGTGTTGATTGTATTTGATTTAAATATTTGCTTAATACCAAAAATGCAAATGTATTAATATTAAAGATGATCACCGCAATTAAAAAAAATGGTGCAATTGAGTTGCAACTTGTGGCACAATTAAATTTTCTTATAGTGTAATTAAGTTATAACTCAATTGAAATTTAAAAATAATTATAGAGACCATCTTTAATTAATATCAAAAATCTTAAATAATTTTAATTTATAGAAGAATATATTTAACATAAAATAAATTGCATTTACTAATAAAATAATTAAACAATTTGAGTAAATATTAATTATAATATATTTTATTAATCTGAAACGTAAGCGAAGGATTATATATTGTATATCTATATCTAGTATCTGTTTATCTATTCACTCAAAATTTGATCAATATATAGTTAATCTCTTTTATTACACTTATATTTTGAACTTAATAACAGTTTATAAAATTATTCTTTAATTTGTTTATTAGTAATTATATATTTTTATTATTTTTAAAAATATATAAGATTACTAAAATATCATAAAATTAGTATTATTTAAGTATATTAATGGTAGCATCATAAAAAACACATTAGAATTTTAGATGAGTTAACTACACTCAGATTTTTAATAATATATAGATTCAATATAAATTTTTGAAATATTTTATCAAAAATGTATAATTAATTCATTTGCAATATTTTTTAATAGAAATAATAAATGTCATTATATTTTAGATATATTAGATCAAGTAAAATGTAATAAAATGAATTTAATTATAAAAGATATTAAAATTTTAAGTTTATATGATACTAATTTTATAGATTTTATATAAATTTAAAACATTTTATAATAGATACAAAAATAGTACAAATATTTTATAATAGTATTAAATTTTAGCCAATTTTATTATAACAAACTTTTATTTTTTAATGTGATTAAATTTTAAGAATTTTTTAATACCTTTATTTAAAAATTATTATTAAATGCAGATATATAGCAAAATATTATATAAGTGAAATAAATATATATTTATTAATGCTTATATGATATAAAACATTTATTAAAATATTATTTTATATAATTTTTATAATATCATTTTAAAGGTATTATATTTAAAATTATTATAAAGTTTGCATTATATTATATTTATAAATAATTTTAAAATTACAATTATTAAAATATTTTAATAATTATTCTATAAGACTTATAAAATACAAATAAGCATTATTTAAGGCTTATGACTTTTTATCAGATTTTTATCAAAATACTATACAGTGGCTCACAAAGATGACCATTATAATAATAAGGTTGATAAACTAGCAAAACAACTCCCTGCATAACTATTATCAATTAACAAAGAACATCTAGGTCCAGGCTATTATTTATGTTACACGTCCAATCTAATAATTGCTCCTCATCAACTATTCATAAAAAATAAAATACAAGCGGCATGGGCAGAATCCTTGCTTTCACTGCCTCACCTCAACAAATATCGTGATAAACCTATAGATTGGCC